CCCAATCGTGAGTTTAAGCCACCAGGTCCAGGACTTGAACCACAGTCAACTACATAGGAGTCCAGCGATATAGCTATTACGCCATTTGCTGGTCCCAATAATTTTTTTTTTCTTAATTCTCTAGTTTGGGGCTAGCAGCTGGCATAACAGTTATGTCACTGGATTCCCTCATGGCTGACCACGGTTCAAGTCTCAGACCCAGTGGCTTGAAAATCACACCAGGCATGTGTGCGCATGTGCCTAAGATCCCAGGAGGAGAATGGATGAGAAGAGATTCCAGCGTGCTATCCTCCCAGGGGGTGATTTCTAACTTTCTCTCTCACTGTCTCTATCTCCCTCTTTTTTTTTTTTTTTAATTTTTTTTTTTTTGAAGAGGTTTTCGCTATAGGGTGCGTGTGCTCGCCAGACAGACAGAGAGACATAGAGACAGAAAGCGAGAAATCACCCCCCCAGGAGGGATGGTCACGCCGCAATCCCTTCTCCTCCATTCTCCTCTCGGGATCTTGGGCACGCACGCACATGCGCCCGGCGTGAGTTTTAAGCCACCGGGTCCGGGACGCGTACCGCGGTCGACTACGTGGGAGTCCAGCGACATAGCCATTACGCTAACTGCTGGTTCCCTCTGTCTCCCTCTTGGTGAGCACATGTGTCCTAAGGCAAAAACCCCTATTAAAAAAAATCCTCTACTTTAACACTTTATGGGGGGACCAGCAGATGAATTAATGGTTACATTGCTGGACTCCCACATAGTTGACTGTGGTTTGAGTACTGGACCCAGTGGCTTAAACCTCATGCTGGACACATGTGCGTGCATGCCCAAAAATCTCGAGAGAATAGAGAAGGGATTGTGGCGTGGCTCTCTCCCTGGGGGGTGATTTCTCACTTTCCATCTCTCTGTCTCCCTGGCAAGCACACACACCCTACAGCAAAAATCTCTCTTTAAAAGTACATGCATGCCTATGGGGAAAAAAGGATATAAAAAATATTTGGAAGCCGAATATTTGCCTTCCAAGTATTTGCATTCTATAATTTAAATAATAAATGACTCTTCTAAATAATCAGTGACTCAAATAAGAAATTGCAAGTGTGTACAGACCCTGTAGCCTACTGGTTAAGGAATCCAGCCCTAGCAGCTTGAAAAACATTCTGGGCACATGTACATGCATGCCTAAAATCCCAACAGGAGGGAGAAATGGAGGAGAAGGTCTTGTGGCATGACCATGCCCTTTGTGGGGGGTTCTTTCTCCCTTTCTACCCTCTCTTTCTCTGTCTCTGTAGCAAATACACATTGCCCTCTAGCAATAAAAAAAAAATTAGAAAATATGTTGAACTGAGTGGTGTTGGTAAAAATAGTGCTTATCAGACCAGCAGGTAATGTGGAGGTTAAAGTGCTGGATCCCATATGGCTATCTCTGCAGTTCCAGTCCCAGACTCAGAATCTTGAAAATCACGCTGTGCACGTATGCATAATGCATAAGTGCTGCGAATGGGGACCCAGTTCCCATATGGCTGACTGTGGTTTGAATCCCAACCCAGGCAACTTGTGTATATGTACTTGAAATCCTGCTGGGAAGGGAAAAGGTTTACAGCATGATCACGCCCCTCGGAAGGTGCTGCTTCTCTCTTTGGCAAGTGCATGTGCCCTCTGGCAAGCACACACACCCTCTGGCAATAAAAAAGAATAATGATCAGAAATTAATGAATCAGGCATTAAACAAAAAAATGTATAAAATTAATAAAGCCAAAAGTTTGTTCTTTGAAAGTTTCAGTTAACATTGATAAATCTTGGGACCAGCAGTTAGCATAATGGCTATGTCGCTGGACTCCCATGTAGTGGACCACGGTTTGCGTCCCGAACCCAGTGGCTTAAAACTCATGCTGGGTGCGTGTGCATGCGTGCCCAACATCCCGAGAGGAGAATGGAGGAGAAGGGATTGCAGCCTGGCCATCCTCCCTGGGGGGTGATTTCTCGCTTTCTGTCTCTCTGTCTCTGTCTTTCTGGTGAGTGCACGTGCCCTGTAGCAAAAAACTCTTTAAACATACACACACACACACACACACAAAAAAAAAATCATTGATAAATCTTGGGGCTGGCAAGTGGCTGGCAGGTTAAGATGCTAGATTCCTGGGGCCAGCAAGTGGCATGGTAATTAAGAACACTGGACTCCCACATGGCTGACCGTGGTTCGAGTCCTGGACCTGGCAGCTTTCTCTCTCTCTCTGTTCCTCTCTGGTCAAATTAAAATAAATAAAGTTAAACAAAATAATTCTTAAAAAAAAAAGCTAGATTCCCACATGGCTGACCACAGTTCGAGTCCCAGCCTTGGCAGTTTCCTCTCTCCCTCTCTCTCGTCAAATTGAAAAAAAATAATACATTTTAAAATAAAATAAATAATTCTTTTTTAAAAATTGATAAACCTCAAGAAAAAAATATTAATTATCAATATTGGGAAAAAGGGATTATCTGCAAATTCTATAGATTTTTTAAAAAGGGTAAGTACAATATTATGAACAATTTAAGGTAATAAATTCAATGTCAATGATAATATGAATCTTTAAAGGACATAATTATAACTTTACTAGAGATGATTACTTTTGACTTTTGAACCCAGCATGGTAATCTCTCTCTTGGTTATCAATGGAACAATTGTCTTCCTGCCTCTATATTTCTTTTTTTTTTTTTTTTTTTTATATAGCTTTTTTTTTTG